GAATATGTGCCATTGAAAATACCACAGTGCTTCCACAACTCTTGAGTAGACATACACAGAATTTGGATATAGCACTGTAGTGTCTTTCATAAGCTTTATGGGCATCTGCTAGGCTTGGAAATTCAATTTCTCAAAATGTTTGCAAAACTTCTGCCACGGGAATGTTCCAGTTAATGAATAACCACTCAGCATGCCCTTTACTAGCATGTGATTTTCCTTTTTGATGTTATGCGTGATCTTGGCTTAATTGGATATAGCTTTAAAGACCTACAGGGCCTCTCTGAAAAAAGCAGTTCTGCTGATTACATCTAATGACTGGTCTGAACTGGAATCCTTTACATTTCCCTGCCTTCCTCCAGCTGTGGGGAAGCCAAACTGCTGCCATTCTAAATCTCAAGTTTTCTGGTTGGTTTTGTTTGTGTTTCCCCTCTGGCACCCTATCCCAAGGATAGCAATTGTGAATCTGTGCATTTTTTGGATTTTGAAGACATTGAGATTTAGGAGGAGAGCTTGGGTTTGGAGAACAGTATGAGTTATGAGGGCTCTCTTCTATTTCCTTCTCCACAAAGGTGTTCTTTTTTAGTTACTGTGGTGGAAATTGACTTTTAAAAAACAGAGTGCAAAATTATCTCTGTGGTTTCAGTTATGCTGTAGTCTCTGTAACTTGGACTATCCTTTCCTTGGTTCTCTGTAATGGAGGTGATAGTAGTTACCTCGTATAGCTGATAGTGTTCACCACCGTCTGTTTCTGCCAACCAGTAAGGTAACTGTATGTTTGCAACCACAATTCTTCACAGCATTCTCTTTGCTTCATAATAGTCAACGTCTTAGTCTTCATAAACTATTAATCTACAATATCTCTGTAGGTAGGTGTGATCTAAGAGGGGATAAAAGCTTTAGAAAAGGACAGTGGAAGAAGATGCACCTTACAGGGCAATGATCATGGCTTTTATTCCAAAACAGTGAAAAACCCAACAGACTCCAGAAAGATGATGAACAAGGCAAAAGTTATGACAACATGATGTGGAAGCAGAGCTGCCATGTTTCCGCCTCTTCTGCCCCTGGCAACAGAGTACTTTTTCCATAAGGCATCAGCAAGTCTGTAACTTCAAGTCAATATTTATGCAGGCTTATCATGACTGATTCCTTTCATGGCCAAGTGCTGCCTGGTGCTGTGTTCTGCATTTGTTAGGTGAATGAAATAACTTCCTCTGGAGAAGTTCAGCCTAGACTTTGAAACCAAACCAAGCCTGCCAGAGATGCACTCCAAAGCCAAACATACTGGAGTATGCAGAGTATAGTAAATGGTGACTTCAGAAGCACTTTGGGGTGTGATGTGGTCATTTTTCATGAGACTCAGATCTTGACTTTAGGTTATTACATGGTTGTGAAAATTACCACACTAGCTATGAGCTTCCCAAAGCTGAGTGTGGAGATCCTCATGCCTGTGAGGTAGATACGGTGTTATCACCATTCATACAGATGGGGAGCCATGTCCCTGAGGCTTTATCTGACATGTGAGGATGGTGGGACGTACGCCTACCCCTCCAGCCGTGAAGTATCTTTACACCCAGACTTGATGCAACTGTGTTCTGAGGATGATGTAGGATCTGAATCCAATCCGTTGAATCAGAGGCAACTGCTGTAAGTTATTCTGTCTCTCCTTCAGGCGTTCCTAGCTATGTGTATTTTAAGTATCTCAATAAAAGTCCTTTAATTTAGAGTGTAACTTATTGCAGTCAGTAGTAGAAGGAATTCAATGTTTACACTTAAGGGACCAGAACTGGGAAATTGTAGGCTCTGATTTGAATTGATTTTTTTTTTTCTTTACACTGGTTACCTCGCCATCATATCAGGTTTTATTTTTTCTCAGTTATAGTGGGTTTTTTTTTAAGGTTTTCTTCATTCAGTACCTGTGATTTGCTGCTACAATACAGAACCAAGTTTGTCATATCTGTTTAATATATGTCACCTTTTGTATGTGAACCACTCGTTCAATTTGTCTTAAAAACTTTCAATTTGTCTTAAAAAATACTGTTTGACACTAGTTACAGACATCTTAATGCTTTATGGTTGCCACCTGTTTTTAATACATTTTGTGTTGTGGTGCGTCAGCAATTTATAATAATATAGGAATGGGTTTTGCTCCCACTGCACAAAAAATCCTTCTTCTGTTTTTATTTGTTATCTATTAGACATGCTTTGAAAGCCTATTCTAAAACAAACAAAAAAGGCAGCATCCCAAAAATTGTATTAATAGAAAGCGATGTGTTTTGACTGCAATGTCATTACTAATAGGAGTTTCAAAGCAGTCTGGTAGGTTTGAGAACTTACTCTTTCCTCTGCAAATGTAAGCTGCAATATGCACATTACTCATTAAAGAACGTTAGCACTGAGAGAAGAAAGTATAGCCCATAGGACAGAGCTCATTGATACTAACTGTACTGTCGGTAGGCCATGAGCTGTAATTGTACATCATACAATTGGAATATCCTATCTTCTACTGATTAATTTTGTTTGAAAAGAGGTAAAAACTCTTGTGTTTGAAACCAAGAGATCTCGGGCTCTTGAAGGGCAGTTCAGACTGTATGTTCATAGGACAAACTGGAGTAGGATGGCCAAGTCTAACAAGTCTCCACCTAAGAAGGAATAACCCCAGGCAGATAGCCCTGCGGAAGGGACCCGGGTGCCCTGGGGGATGGCAAGCTGGACACGAGCCAGCAGTGGACCTGGCAGCAAGGAAGGCTTGACAGCAGGCTGGGCAGTATCACCAGGAACAGAGCCAGCAGAGGAAGGGAAGTGATTAACGCCCTCTGCTCAGCACTTTTTAGACCATATTCCAAATACTGTATCCATTTAAAAAAAAAAAAAAGGCAAGGGGGAGATAAAACTGGAGGGAGTTGAGCAAAGGGTCACCAAGGTGCTTGGGAGCTGGAACACACGCTCTTTGAGGAGAGGCAAAGGAAGTGGGGCTTGTTCAGCCAGGAGGAGGGACAATTTTGGGGGCACTGAACAGCAGCCTTCTTGTGTATTAAGAAGGAGTTTGAAATCCCCAAACTCCCATAATCACATAGATTCCTTAACTGACTTTCAGTGGATCTTCCTCCTTAATTCTACTAATTTCAGAAGGAGGGTCTAGAAAATGGAGGGACTCCTCTGTGTTGACCAGCAGCAATCCTTAACAGACAAATTACAAGAAACTGAATTCGTTTAATACTCCTGCCATCCCCAGAGGCAGTTTGCAGGAGGTTAGGAAGGTATGTGAGAATTAAGAAAGCATACTTTAACTCCTCTGCCAGCATGAAGAGGCTGAACTTTGTGGACACCAAATATTCCACATCAGTCAGTATTCTCCTAAGCTTGACTGACTGTGAAATTTCAAGAATTCCTTCTTTAATTGCTAATGGTTGAGTTTCGGGTTTTGTACAACATGAAAAGAAGTGAGCTAATAAAGAGTGGCTGTGTGATGGTCAGTCCCTTTACCTACTGCTGTTTTTGGCATCCACAAGTGTGGGTACCATGGAAATCACAAAATACGCTGCTCTGCATCTCAGAATACTTTCTGGATGTCTTAGCTGGACATCAGTTACTCCCTCCAGTTACTTCCTGTGCTACAGTAAAAAAAATGCACTTAAATACAAACCCCAGACCTTCAGTATGGGCAACTGACAGCTTGCTACCCCATTGCCATAACATCTTGGAGCATATGCAAGGCAACTTCCCCCTACAACTGAGGTGCGAGTTATCTCTTTTGTTGGAAGAAAAATGTGCACATTGATGGTTTTGCTGAAGGATGCTTCAATCTGAATGCTATCCTAGGTTGTGGTTATTTGTTCATGTAATGGTAATTTATGGGTGAATGAAGCTTTTGGGCCGAAACTTTCTTGGGCTTAACTTTCGGTTTTCTTTATAAAAAGCAAACCAAAACAACTCTGTTCTCCGTGTCGAATGTTTTTAAACCAGTAGGAACTGTGTGCTCAGTGAAGGGCACAATTTGACTTACTGCTTTTTTTTTTCCCCACTTTATAGTGTACATAATTGGAAAAGGAGCCTTCCAACTGTACGTAGTTATTGGTCTTTAGTTTCTGATCATGACTGCCTTAGAACTATTCATTGTCTTGCTATATACAGAAGTTGAATTGCCCTGCTTCAGCCCCAACACTGTTCAACAAACGGTGGTCTCAAGAGAGAGCTTCCATGATGGATGACAGGCCTGAACATTACTGTCATTCTGTCTATGATGGCTGGGTCTGCAGTGTGAAAGGGAGAGGCAAAATAAGTAATGAGAAGTAGCTGTCTTTCCAGTGGTAGCGATGATACCTTCAGATCAGGGTTGAAGTTAATTCTGTCAAAAAAACTCCCATGTTCTTCTGAGGTTAAGTACGAATGCAGGTTTCCTGCAGTTTGTCTGACATGTTTCACCTTTCATGTCAGGATCTTTTTTCATACGCCAAATTTATTGTTCCTAAAGCAGACAATGATAATGCAATTGGTAATACATCATAGGAATGGTCTTTGTTTATGTGGGAAAACTTAATGAATAATTTGGTTTAGTAGGAATGAAATCCTAATCCAAGTTATATTTATAAAATCCTTTGCTGTCCATGTTTAAAGATAATGCTTATATGCCATTGAAACTGACAAAGGAACTACTTTTTTTTAATAGATAATTAGGCATGAACCAAAGAAGACAGAGATGTGTATCACTTTTGAATCAGAAGTTTTGTGACAGAAAATCCTATTCTGTTTTCTGTGCTTATGGTCTGAAAAATAATTTACAGTATTTTATTTTAAATAATGTTTTTGAGCATTGTTGTAAAATACGTCAGCATTGTTTTTCCATGAGAGTATCAAAGGTGAAATCGAGCATTTATTCTTAAGAAAGGAGTTGGTTAATTGTCTGTGCATTTAAATGACCTGTAAATTGCACAGTTGTAATACTGGGCTCTTCACACATTTTTATGAATTTCAACCAAGACACATCTCTCCTTTTCATGCAGGTATTTTTGGCCAGAAGCTGGAAGATACTGTCCGATATGAAAAGCGATATGGGAACCGCCTGGCTCCTATGTTGGTGGAACAGTGTGTGGATTTTATCCGACAGCGGGGACTGAAGGAAGAAGGCCTTTTTCGACTGCCTGGGCAGGCTAATCTTGTCAAGGAGTTACAGGATGCATTTGACTGTGGAGAGAAACCTTCTTTTGACAGGTAAAGTCCTCCAGCTGTCCCCCACTGCCTGAAGCCCGGGCAGGACACGATCTGCTGTACTGCCTGGTCCATGGTGTTGTGAAACATGTGGCAACAACAGACAGAATGACATGTTTTAGTAGGTTTTTCTTTATGTTTCCTATTATCACTCTAAAACGTCTTCTTTTTTTTCTTCTGACTTTGGTGTCTGATTTCAAAGCATTTCTGGAAAATTTCCATTTGTGAAAAGCTGATTAGGAAAAGTATTGCTGATGGTTTGGCTTAATCAAAAATATCTGGATTGCCTTGATCTTAGTATCATTTGAAATACAGGGGTGATGCTGGCATTTAGTCAGTTCCACAAAGGAGGAATTTCTCTTGCCACCAATTTCAATATGTTGTTACCTATAAAACTGACTGGAAGGGAAGTCTACTTTTACATATTCCTTCATCATTTTGGGCCTTTGGTCTTAAAATAAAAGTCGCTGTCACCATAATAACAAACCTACATAGTTTTGACAGTCCATGTGCAGTTTGTATTCCACTATTTAAACATTTTCACAAAGCTAATGAGAATTTTCTGGGCCAAAGAAGAACCCAGTCCTGTTCATACAGCTGTGTATGACTTCAGTCTTTTGTAAGACTAATTTTTGTGCAATTTCAGCACTCCTCCTATAAGCATTGATAGCAGTAGTCCACATATTCAGTGTGCAATCAGAGAAGCAGAACCAGTGGATTATGAATGCCACATAGCCTTTTTAACTCTGATCAGAATTAATACGATGGTAATGAAATTCCAATTCAGGAGACTGTTAAACAGTGCTTGTCCTCACTGTGTGCCCTAAGTGACATTCGTAATGTACCTCCAAAATTAAATTGGGATACTTCACTCCAATTGAGAGTCTAATGTGAATTAGGAGGAAGAGGCAGGTTACATTTATTTTGTGGGTCCTTTGACTGATAGGAATGCAGGTAACAGGAAGGAAAGCATAGCTTGATCTTTTGGTGCAAAATCGTGCCACTGTATGAACCTGGTTGCTGGAAATCGTTTACCTCTCTCCCTTCCCTATTCCTATGAAATGAGCAAATTTGCTATGCATGAAAGTATGTGTATCACAGATGCACAGAAGGCAGACATCTGTAATGCTGTTTAATCTCCAACAGTTTCCTCAGTTCTGACCCTCACTTTAAGAAATGTCAAGAATTTATAATGCTCTGGAAAAGTGAATTGTCTTCCTACGAGATTTGCTAGTTTCTCATCGGAAGGTGAGAGTTAGAATAATTTACCAGAAAATAGCTTTAAGGAGCCAGAGGACTGTGGGAAGTGACAGTGTTAGCTGATAAATGTTTGTAGCATACTCACAGACTGTTAAAATACTGTGTAACTTATTTAAAAATAGTAAAAAAGCATTTATTGGGTATGTTTTCCTTACTTGGACATTAAGATAAATATTACTTGTAGTATCTCTGGCACAACCTCTGCCAGAGATAGAAGTAGGAGAATGGCAGAAACAAAAGGTTATTTTTTCCATGCCTGTAAAGCCAAATAATTGTGGAGGAAATGCTTAAGAAAACAAGCCACCCCCAAACTCCAGGAAGATGATGTACTCAACACCCCACTGAGAGGTACAGCTTGAAAGAGGTGCTCAAGTTCTGTCTATTCAAAACAAATGAGACCAGGGTTCAGC